TTGTACATATAACCTGGAAAGGTATTCAGTATCTATTAGGTTACATTTTCAACTATGACGTCGAGCTACATGGTGCAGACCACGAGTACACGACGACAGACATTATAATCGGAGTTTAGCTGCGCTGGAAACGCAATGGCTACATGTTTTCCTGGGGACAAACTAACCGTGAAAGTGGCGCGTTCGAGTCCCAGAGCACAACGCTAGGCGACAACAGACATTTGTTGCGTCGCATTTATACCCTGTTCTGGCACTCATGATGCTACATTTGTTGAATATTTGGCTGGGGTTGGCTCCTTGCAATGTTGAAGGCATAGCTAATTTTGAAGATCGGGGAATTCTTTTTTTAAATGCCCAATAATGTACGTAATAGTAATACGTAATACGAAATTAAAGGGAATACCTCGTGAAGCTTCGAGAAATCTGGAGAACCGGTGAAATGGTTGATGTTGTTTACAACACTGAGTGACTTTTAAGGAGCTACCATTTCGTTTCAGACTCCTGAGAATCACAACAGACTCTAATTATGTCACACACTTAACTTTGTTCACGTTCTGGTATGATTAGTTGTTGCTTAGCGAGTCTTAATTCATTCACGCCTTCCCGGTTTTAACGGTAAATCAGCAGGATTAGCCTACGAGAAAGTGGTAAACCCAGACGTCTCATACTCACGTTTCTCCAATCTCACTGAGACATCACAATGTTCCTGCTTGTACCCGCATACTGCTGACCGATTCCAGTTTCTCTCCACATTTTCAGTCCTTATATTGTTTCCTTCTCATACTATGCACTTCGGGGGGGGGGTTGTCTTAGGGGACCCGGAGAAGGTTACCGTCCCTCATCACCTCCAATACCTGACTTTCCCATTGGTGCACCCCCTTACCGGGCTAATTACGTCCCCCGTTGCTCCCCATTGGACCAAGAATGACCCCTAACAAGAAGAAAATCATCCACTTAGAAATACCCTAGATAGGTGTAGAATTCAATGACACCCTGAGGTAAGAGTATCATTTTCAAAAAGGAACAAAAAGTAATATTATGACGTTCAAATATTTATATGATGAGGACAATGACCAATTACAATTGCGGAAGAAAGTTCCAATTTCTTTTTGTCCAACAATAATAAGTTTTAATGAATGGTCCATAATATTATTTATTATTCAGTTATGACGAATATGTACATCTTATACTGCATTTTAATTTGTCGCAAAATAACCAGGCGTAGGCCTATGCTCAATAAATAAAAAGAGCCATTTATTTTGAGCTTTTGGCTAGACTAGTCTGTTTGTGAAATTCTTGAATGTTCCATTTCATTTTCTTCGAATTTGTGTTATTGCACATAAAGGTGGCTTTCCATTATGTACGTTTTTGGGTGCGTTGCGTACACGATGCGTTCATGCGTTTCATTTTCACTGACACAAAAATTGATCCGTTAACATAACACATCACGTGTGCGTTGCGTTTGGTCGTCAAAATCGCCCCAAATTGTTTGTTTTTATTTGCCTTTCCTTTCTTTCTTAAGGTCTGTTGCTTTCTCCCAACTCTCAGTTTTATGGTCTTCAACTTGGAAAACCTTACATCAGAATGAAGTACCAGGAAATATGTCTCTTGGTTAGAGTATACTATTTGAAATGTTTGTGAAATCGACTATGAATACCACACGTGAATTAACCGACTTGTGTGAATAAACCTCATAAGATGACCTTTCTGCATAAAGGAACATCACTTAACTGTGACAGACGGTCGGTACTATTCAAACTGAATTCATAAGCGGTAACATATGGGATCACTTAATTTGTGAGTGGGCCTTCAAACTTAAATTCGATTCACATATGATAACCTAGATCTGTCATCTTACGAAATAATTGTGAGACACCATTGATGCGTTTAGCATATTTTCTCCTAAAAATGACAAACGAATCACAGAAATGTCTTGCTGAAAGATTTAAGTAATGCGCTGAACTATTCCATGTGCGAATATTGGAGTAAATGACTCAGAACAAATAGCAGTACGAACAAAACAGCTAAACTGAATTCCCGTCTTCTATATAAAAAGTTTAAATCAGTGTATTACAGTCACTTGGTTGATAGATCATTGGAAGTTTGTTGAAATCTCCTTCAGTTGACCCAAAAGTCAACACCGGCAGTGTTTACAGCGAAGAATAACATGGTATGCAGTTTAGGCAATATAGTGATTAGAGTCCAAACTCGATCGACTGAGCAAGATTGAAGCATCAATAATGGTTGTTGGGTAAATCGCTGATACTGATAGCGCCACCCATTGACCCTCAATTCTTCTAGTTCGCTCGTTTTTTGTCATGCAACTCTTTTCACTCATGGGCTGCAGACAAAATTAGAGCAGTATTTAAATGTCTCTTCCCAAACGTCCCCTAGGTATCAACCAATCGGAAGTTTGGAAGGATTAGGGTTGGCTTGTAATTCTGGGAGGTCGGTCTTCAAGACCTTCAGGCGGTCGATATAACATGCAAGCTTCCTTATCACTTGGTAATGAAATGTCTCCCTCCTTGTTCTTGTTTAAAAGAAGACTGGCCAAAATTGTTTCAGACACGGGTAATTAAAACCTCCGTTCTTGATGTGGGATCGAAACAGTTCTGTGTTGCTTCATGTGTCTTTATTGGGAAATAGGGATAGTGGACTTGGTGTATAGGGGGTGTTCTCACCCACGTCCTCCCTCACACGTTGAAAATGACTTCATTTATAAAACTGGTTTTAAGGTGGCTTTGAGAAGTTTTCTGAAAAGGTTGAAACTGTTTTATTAACACTGGCTCTTTTGAAAGCATGTGACAAGAGCTATATATTTGAGCAAAAAAGTTACGATAACCGCTTCAATCTACTTCAAAGTCAGGCTGTTTATGCTTCATACTGGTTGATGAAGTCCATAAGATTAGTCATCTCTGTACCATCACCAATTATGAAACGAAATAAAGCCCTCTTCAATTCAAGGTAAGTAAATGAGTATTTGCCTTCGCCTTTCTGCTACTCTAAATCTACTCTTTCTTAGCAAGCGAGATCGTTTCAGCAGATGCCCTGTAATGGAAACGATTGGTATGGACATAAAGGTCGCTTCCACATGTAAACAAGTACATGTAGATTCTGACGTCAAGGAGCAACGGGGGCTTGCATATGATATGTTCCTCTCTGCAAATCTGCTTCTTAGTTCTGTTTACTTTGGGAGCTGAGATGAGTCCTGTCTCAGGCTGTTATGAATTTGCGGCTTTGTAATGGCGAATGGACCTTTCTGATTTAATTTAATCAGAGATTTTTCTTGTAACTGTACAATGGTTGAAAGCATGGTTGTACACGTATCTCCCCTTTGTATGACGTATTGTGGATTCCTTAATTAGCGAGTCTTTCATTCCTTATTCATTCCTTACCTCACGATTGTTAAGTTCGTTGTATTTATGAGCAATTATTATTAAGCATTCTGTCTCAAGCAGCGACATACCATAATGGAAGGTAAGGGGTGCTTAGCACAAGATAAACAAGCTCCCAACCATTCTCTCACAGCTGACGTGACAATTTGCTCATATCCATTCAAGGATCCTTCCTTTTTTGTATCGAAATCTATTATTCCTGTATTTTAAAATCCATTTTGTGAATTACCTTGTTGCTTAGTTTCCCTGGCAAATCATAAAAGGGCCACTGTTCTCGAATCTGTCATAGTTTGACTTCCCTACTCTGCAATATACTAGCGTTAGCACATGCGAGGTTTACTTGTATCTAACGAGCTTGTGTCACTCGGCTAAAATTGAATCTGAACTTTAACCTCTTAGGGTGTGTATATATATCATAATAAAATTGGATGATTTATTCCTGTTAGGGAATTTAGTATGATTATCTCCCTTCACTGGAAGGTCGATGTTTTCCGCGAAGTTGCGCGGCTTTAACTCAAAGGCAGAGACAGAACCCAAACTTATTCTTTCTAGACGAATTCTTCTAACACCCACTGCAGCTCTTTGCACGCTGCTCACAGTATCACGATGAGGTCAATTGTATCCGAAGTGACGTGCGCGAATTAGTATTAATCCACAGCTGTAAGTCGGTTGTAATCCACCAACAGGGCCTCAAAAATCGCAAATTCATCATGAGGGCTTGGCTGGGATTAGCATCGCGTCCGATAAATCAGGGGGATATAACACTGAATCCTTGGATTAGAAACCTCCTTTTTCTGCTGGTGAAAAAGCGGATGAGATAAGGTTTTTTTTTTTAAATCCAGAACGATTTCCCCAATTCGTTGTAATCAGGTGCAGATTTATCTTTGTACTTGCACGACCGCCATAAACTCTGTTAGGTAAATCATATGGGGAAAGCTTTTCTGATTGTGTACATACACTCATCCATGCGCATTGCGATCACTTGGTTTTTTCGTAAAGCTGTCGAAAAGGGAAAACTGTGTGGTATCCCTTAGTTTGAGAATTTTTGGTTTCAGTGAATCATTGTTTCAAGGGTATACTTTGATTGTCATCATGAGACAATATGGCCCCTGTTATTGATAATGGGTTGTGATAGGCCTACTTCATGGTCAGTGACTTATGACCCGAGTCCGCTTGCCTTTAATTGGTCAAGACAGCCTTTTGTGTGTTGAGTCTTGTGAACAAAAGGCCGTCAGTGGATTTATTCCACCCCCAGCTCAAGTTAATCCAGGAAAATAATGTCCCTTAATCCTGGCTCATGGTCAAGAAAGTGCAATGTTCTTGACTTGTCAAATCACGGGCCTGCGTGTCTTTGATCAGTTGACCTGAACTCAGACCATCACTGGTTGCCACAATTAATCAAGTTGAGGTTTCAGAGAATTTAAACAAGGGTGGAAAATTATTTTTTGTGTGTTTGTCTGACCTAGATATTGATCACTTTCTTAGGAAGACTGCACTGCTGCTCAGTATCGGGTTTTCTGATTTTTTTCCTCGGAATACCTTGTTAAAAGCATATACATGAGGTTCAAAGAGGCTCATTCCAATACCCTTTTCATTATATTGCAGCGTGTACGAAGCTAACGTGGGGTCAAGACTGTCGAGATCTTTGCCGCTGTCAAAATGGCGGGAAATGTAACAAGGAAGACGGTAGTTGTCGATGTGGCCGTGGCTGGACCGGGCCGGATTGCACTCAGCCATGCAATGGAACGCGGTATGGACCCAACTGTAGTCGACCATGTCTGTGCCAATATGGATCCCTTTGTGACCGCTTCAAGGGGACATGTGCCTGTCCTAGCAAATTACATGTAACTGGTCACACATGCGAACATCGGTGCCCAGAGGGTTTCTATGGATCCCGATGTCAAGCAAGGTAGTTAATAGAACAAACTTTTCCTTTTATGAATGAATGTCTTAGTTTGGACAAAGATCATAAAGTTGTGGGGCCCACATTATATCCTAACATTCTTTCACTTCATTTGTTAGTATCAATATGATACTAAACCTTTGATGCGCCAATCTGTAGGTTCAAACTCAGAATGATGCATTCTTGTGGATTCATTTTCTCACATGGGGGTCTCAGAAAGTGATGACAGCAATATGAACTTGTTTATCCACTACACAATCAACTTCAATCCGACCAACAACTATAATACTTCCTGTCCTGAATAGCGGAGACGTCATCTTAGACATTCTGTCCATCTTTTGATGTGAGATTTTACCTTTAGCGTTTGTGTACCCTTGGGATTAATTTGGCTAAACGACAAGATTTCCTGGCTTTGGCCAAGGAAAGCAACATGGCATCCTAGGAGCGTAGTCCCATGATAGTTATTACAATGGATTTCTTTTCGTTAGCTCTTCGCCATATTCATTTAGATTATTTCCAGCTTCTCTTTTAAACCATGGCATGGTTAAACATTACTTGAGTAACCGTGATGAACATCCACACTAATTACTCTTTACGTCAAGACACTACATAAAACGTATATGTTTACTAATAATACGAGAAGTGTGTCTTCTCTAAAAAAAACAAAAGAAGTATAAAATTCCCACAGTAATGGTCCTCTACTCAAAGCATGTTTCATTCCGAATAATAATTGGAATCACTTTATTGGAAGAGAATGACCAGTACTCCTTTGAAAATCCGAAAGGTCTTATTCATTCTTTGTGTTTTGTCACAAAATGTGTTTGGCCTTTGCAGCTTGTTATTACATTATATTTGGCATAATTTTATTTCCAAAGTCTGTTTCATCTATTTTTCCGTAGATGTAGTTGCCAAAATGGTGGAACATGCAGTAGTGTAGACGGCTCCTGTTCCTGCACGATAGGCTGGAGTGGAAATCTTTGCCAGACTCGATGTGTGGAGGGATCGTACGGACAAGACTGCTTGAAGAAATGCCGCTGTGAAAGGGGTACATGCAACCCAGTCAACGGAACTTGTAACTGCCCACCAGGATGGCAGGGTACAAAATGCAGTGAGCTTTGCCCATGGGGTTTCTATGGCCAGGATTGCTCTCATGAATGCGGCTGTGCCCATGGTGAAGGGTGTAGTCCTTCCGAGGGCAACTGTTACTGTAGACCAGGGTGGATAGGTATGCATTGTGAGATCAAATGTACCGGTGGTCGGTATGGAAGTGGTTGTAAGAGACTATGTCAATGTCGGAATGGAGCTAAATGTCATCATATCACTGGAGAATGTACCTGTGGCCCTGGTTGGTTAGGAGAGCACTGTGGTATTCCATGCGCCCACGAAACTTACGGAGACAGATGTCGCGGGATTTGTGATTGCAAGAATAACTCTACGTGTGACCATGTCACAGGTGTCTGCTCCTGTGGACCTGGTTGGACCGGTATAAACTGCGACAAGCGGTGTGCTGATGGTTTCTTTGGGCCTAGTTGTTCTGAAGTTTGCCAGTGCGAGAACGGAGGGACTTGTGATCCAGTCACAGGGACCTGCAGGTGCTCACCTGGCTGGCAAGGGACTTACTGCAATGCTTCGTGTACCTTTGGACTTTTTGGACTAAGTTGTCTGATACAGTGTCGGTGTGAAAACGGTGGGACTTGTAACCCAGTGCACGGAACATGTACGTGTCCAGCTGGTTGGACCGGAGATACTTGTAGCGAGAAATGTCCAGACAGATTCTTTGGTGTCAATTGCCAGATGAAGTGTCAGTGTCTTCATGGTGGTACATGCGATGCTGTTGACGGCACCTGTACGTGTTCCTTGGGGTGGCAAGGTATGTTGTGTGAGGAACCTTGTCCAAAAGGTTTCTATGGTAGAGAATGTAATGAGGTCTGCAGGTGTCAAAACGGTGCTGACTGCGACTTCGTAACTGGAAATTGCACCTGTCAGCATGGATGGGAAGGGGAGTTATGTCAGTATATCTGTAACGAAGGATTCTATGGGCATGGCTGTACCTCGCGATGCCAGTGTTTAAACGGAGCTAGGTGTGATGCTGTAACAGGAGCATGTTTATGTTCTCGCGGATGGATGGGTTCAAAATGTGAAATGGCCTGCCGTAGAGGTTTGCATGGTTTCAACTGTACTGAAGAATGCTTGTGTCAGAACGGCGCCTTATGTGATCCACAGACAGGTAGTTGTACCTGTACCCTGGGATGGAAGGGTATGGTTTGTGATCAGCCCTGTGAACAAGGAACCTATGGAGTCCAATGCCGACAAACTTGTCTTTGTGAAAATGGTGCCATTTGCAACCACATCGATGGATCGTGTAGTTGCACGGCAGGATGGTTTGGGGAAAACTGCAATAAATCATGTCCAATTGGCTTCTACGGTCAGGACTGTTCCTCGAAATGCACATGTGCAAACGATGCAGCTTGTGATCACGTGACAGGGGCGTGTCTATGTAGTCCGGGATGGTGGGGTGATTTCTGCGAAATTCCATGTCCGAATGGAACGTATGGCCACGCATGCTCCAAGAGATGCCCATGTCTACACGGCGCTAGTTGCCATCGTGAACACGGTACTTGTGTTTGCCTGGCTGGCTGGACTGGTAAGTTTTGTCAGAGTAAATGTCAACGGGGCTTTTACGGTTTGCAGTGTAGGAATGTCTGTAGATGTAGAAATGACGGTCTGTGTGATGCAGTTGACGGCAATTGTTCTTGTTCTTCTGGATGGGTAGGGGATGAGTGCCAAGAACCTTGTAGAGATGGCTACTATGGCATTCAGTGTCAGGAGAGGTGTCTATGTGAAAACGGGGCGACATGTGACAAGCGCAATGGTTCATGTTTATGTACACCAGGGTGGAAAGGACCATTCTGCTCTGATTTTTGCCCGCGTGGAACTTTTGGTGTAGGTTGCTTGTCAGTGTGTCAGTGTAAGAACGGTGCATTGTGCGATCCCATTAGTGGTAGCTGCCAGTGCGAGCGTGGATGGATAGGTGAACACTGTGACCATAATTGCCAGCCAGGCTTCTATGGGGACAGATGTAAGGAGGCCTGTACGTGCCTTAATGGTGCTTCGTGTGATTCAGTTAGTGGTGCCTGTAGGTGCTCTGCAGGCTGGTTGGGAGAACATTGCAACAAGGCCTGTCCTGAAGGCTTCTTTGGTCTAAACTGCTCACAGGAATGCCAGTGTGAGAATGGTGGTCAGTGTAATACAACGTCGGGCTCATGTTCGTGTCAGGCAGGTTGGACTGGGGAACTGTGTCAGCATCAGTGCCAGGATGGACAGTATGGCGTCGGCTGCAATCAACAGTGCCATTGTGTAAACAATGCATCTTGCAACGCTGTTACTGGAATGTGTGAGTGTTTGGACGGATGGATGGGAGAGAGTTGTGACCAGCCGTGTATGGATGGTTTCTATGGTAGACAGTGCAGTAGGAAATGTGACTGTGGCAATGGTGCGTCTTGTGATCCCATCAATGGGTGTGATTGTGCAGCAGGATGGCAGGGTGAGGCGTGTTTGGTTCCGTGTCAAGCTGGAACGTATGGAGTACAGTGTGGCAAAGTATGTCAGTGTCAAAATGGTGGAGAGTGCGATGCAGTAAGAGGTTGCGTCTGTCAATCAGGATGGATGGGAGACGCCTGTGAGCAACGCTGCGCAGATGGGTTCTACGGAAGAAACTGCCAGGAGGAATGTTCGTGTCTTAATGGGGGCCACTGCCATGCAGAATTTGGGTGCATGTGTTCGCCAGGCTGGCAAGGACGTTACTGTAATGAAACTTGTCTACCGGGTTTCTTCGGTGCTGGCTGTACGGTGGAATGTCAGTGTGGGATGCACGGGAAGTGTGACAAAGTCCTAGGATGTGTGTGCGAGTCCGGATGGGAGGGAAGGCATTGTGAGAACCCATGTACTGAAGGACGATATGGACCTGCTTGTCAAAAGACCTGTCAGTGTGAAAACGATGCCATCTGCCACCATGTGTATGGCTGTATTTGTACCAGTGGCTGGAGAGGACCTCGATGCAATTACACCTGCCCAAGACAACAATATGGAGAAAATTGCTCAGGGCTTTGCCAATGTGGAAATCGAGGCACATGCCATCATATCCGTGGTTGCATCTGTGAGGCTGGTTGGAAGGGACCAGACTGTAGAATTCCATGCAAAGAGGGAACTTACGGTGCAAACTGTAAGATGAAGTGTCAAAGATGCGAGCATGGTGGCACATGCGATCACGTGACTGGAGAATGTTTTTGCAGACCTGGTTATGGAGGCAACAGGTAAAATTCTAAATCTTTAGCTGACGTTAGTTTAGCAAATTTGGGATTTCGAATGCTTATTACCTTGAGCAATTTTTAAAAATTAAAATGATTCTTTTCTCTGGAGAAACATTTCGGAAGTCAACACCTATGCAGTGACATTCGATGTATGTTTTAATCTTGATCCTCCGAGCTTGCTTAAACTCTGTGTCTTACATGTACAGTTATTATGAGAAGGGTTTATAATGCAGTAATTGCACGTCCTTATAGGAACAGTCCTGTGGTTTCTATTTATAATTTTTTGTTAATTACGAGCCATTATCTGCTTCCAGGCCAATAGCTTTACTAACAGTTTTTGTTAGGAACTTTTGCGATAAGCAGAACGGGTGTACGCTCCAGTTATTCTGTCTCTGCCCAAGGAAGGAAACTAGATTCCCCATGTTCTAACTAAGAAAACCACTTGCACCTCGGGGTGTTACGCTTAATTACGATTCACGTATTAAAAGACGTCATAACCGTTGCTAGATTAAACAACAAGTTGAGGCGAAGACAGATTTAATTTGTGGTTAGTGTTAGAATAAGTTGGCTTTGTATTTTATCTTGTGGTAACTATCTCTGTGCCAGAATTTGATACTTGATACACCGATGTGTTTTGAATCAGGGCTACGTTGAATTTAGAGGCTTTTGAGAGAGAGTGTACGGTAAAGCTGTACCAGAAATTTGTAGACAAGTGAATGGTTCTTTGAAAATTCCATTCGACTGAAGGTTTAAAGGTGTCTTGTGGTCACTAGGCGTTGGTCCGTATACCTTTGCTAAAAGAGATAAAAAATAATGCAATGGGGACGAGACATGCTTTGAATATATAACATTCATCTCAGAGCCTCCAATACTGGAGATGTTCCGTGCAGTGAACGGAAACAATTGGTTTTTTTTTTGCAATGAATGCGTTGTTTTCGATGTAGAAGTAATCAGTGTCGTGTTATGATTTTCCTAACTTCTATTTTGGTAACTGCCTTGTGATAAAAGTTCTTTTCTGTGTCTTGCAGATGCCGAGATCCCTGTCAGCCGGGGACATACGGTATGAATTGCGCTTTGGAATGTCCTCCTTGTTCAGGGAATGCTACCTGTGACGTCGTCAGCGGCAAATGCAAGCAAGGTAGTTAGCTCTGTGTTTAAATTGTGACAAGGAGTGAGCATTTTGATTCATTGTCAACTGGATTGCATGGTATGGTGTGAGATATACAGTGTGACTCTTGCACGGTTCTCCATTTTTCTTCCCACATTCTTAGGGCAGACCGTTTATTCTTGCCGATTCCTTTCTCGAGAGGACGTGTATGTAGGCCTACTGCCAAATCTCGTTTTCTTTATTTAAGTTTGTGAACAAATGCAGAACTCGAAAACAAATCAGTTTGTCCAGTATATATCAGTGTGATGATGACTGATTGCTTCTTAATGTTGCTGACGTCATTATATTCATCTGGTTCCCTATCTCCATTTCATCCCTGCTCTTCATAATTCAGCCGAAGCAACTAGTCATCCAGGCTCTGAAGGCGATGCTGTTATTACGCAGAATCTACTCGACGAAGTCATGGAGATGCCGCTAGTTATGTACGCCATCATCGCTGGTGGCGCCCTAGGTTTTGTCCTGTTGGTGATCATAGCGATCATGGTTACTCAGAGGTGGAATTGTGGTCGTTATGGCTCCTATAGGTACGTCATCTTGAGGTTTCACTTGTCCTATTTAACGGGTTTCATTAATCACACTGCTCAAAATTTTAACCCATTTCCCTGTCTACCTTGTGCCATTACCCCCATGACAATATACTACTAAGCATCTGCATGCTTGTCACCATGATAACTGAGTGTGATAATAATCTCGGTGTATGAATTTGACCTTTCGAATGCAAATGATAACAGCTGAAGAGACTTCCAAAAAGTCTTATGTTGACCTTCTCTAAACTTGACTTTTATAAAATTTCCTTCAGAGGTAGGAACAGTTAGTGTCAGAGATTCAGAAAAACCTGAAACACAGGGAACCAAATGCAGGTATCATTGAATATTGTTAACGGCAATGACAACATCAGCCCATCTTTCAGTACTTACACACTTGAATTAACTTTAATAAAATAAAGCGGCAACATGATTTTCCCTATTAGGACAATGGAACGTCCCAGTGATATGTTTGTGACTGATGTAAACCAGAAAATACAGATCATCGATTTGAACAGCAATAATGTTAAAGGTATGAACTTGTGTATTGTGAAATTTTGTTGTCAGACATTATTTCGTCAATTTTTCATTGTGTAAAATCTTCCTTTTAGGTAACAATCTTTTATTGTCTTAGTTTCGGTTCCCATTATTGCAAGAAATATATGCAAATCAGTGCAGGCCATTCCCATTGCCTCATTATTCCGTAACACATTTCCCGCACCATGATGTCATTGTTATACTGTAGCATGATTTCTTTCCTTGCATGATCTTTGTGGTTTGAAGCCTTGCAGTGGTGCGTCATTCTAATTTCAGTCCGGAATCAAATGCATCAAAATGCATTCGCAAATCAATTGAGGAATTTAATTGAAATTTTTTATTTATCGAACCCTTCCCCACAAATTCCCTGCACTGTCCGTAGATCATGTTTAACCAGCAACTGGCCAAGTACCAAGTGTTTCATTCATTCATTATAAACTGGAAACTTTCACTGTTTACGAAACTTTAACTGTATTGGTTGCAGTGGACAATTTGATTAAGGGGTAATATTACATTTTAATATTACATCTTTCCCTGTGTCAGTTTACGATTCGTCGAGCCTGGGAGGTCGCTACAAGCGTAACACCAGGCAACCTTTGTCGGATCCACAATGTGTTCCCGGCATTGCTGTTCCAGTCCAGTACACACTAGCCAGTCTTCCATCTGATCTAGGGTCATTACCCACGCCAGTCCAGCGTCCACAACCTGTACCTAGGAAGCTTGCCACGGTTAGACCCACCCGTAGTCTGAGCTCCATGGAGAAGCCTTTTGTAGACATTACGCCCCCATCATCAGTGTTGTCTGACCCGACTCCTCCTTGTTCTGTAACAAGTGAGGAAAGTCGCGAGGGTTCCGAGGCCGAGACGGCATCAGTTCGGTCTTCGACAATGTCAATTGTTACGGAAAGTTTCATGAGTACAGATAGTCAGTACACCACCACAACTGCATCATCAACTACTTGCCCGCATAGTAACTCGAGGTACTACATCGTGCCTGGCGCACCCGGTGCCAAACGTCGAACACAAAACGGAGAGGTTTTGATATGAAACGACTGTCAAACGCGTTTGTGCTTTCTGTACCGTCGTGCAACCGTTGGGGGCGCTGCAAGCACTAAGCAATAAGTGCAAGTATGTGGATTTGAACGTGCTCAAAACAAGACGAAAAGCCGGAGGAAATCCCGGAGGAAAGTGATCAAGATCTCACAGTGACTTGTATTTCAAGCTGTAAAAAGCCGATTCTAACTTTGCGCATAACAACAGTGAAAAATCAATAAAAGATGAATTCATTTGAACAACACCATACAGCTCACCCACAATATTGTGCAAATTGAATTTATCAGTTGCCTGAAAGTTTGAGAAGGCTACATTTATTTTGGCTATGGGAAACTTCCTTTTTTTGAATCAGAAGTAGCCCGAATGCCAAGCAACCAGATGCCTTTCAGGATGTCATGTGACTGTTTAGATGATAGTTTACAGCATTCCAGAAGCTTGTACAAATAAATTAAGTAGATGTACAGTTTAAACGATTTTATAGTTTTTTAATGTTACTGCATTATGTTACTCGATGTTGGAGGATTATTGTTTGTATATCAGATGCGAATTCGAAATATTGTAAATGAATAAAGAAGACACATCCTTCAGAGTCTCAAGAATCATTCTGACTAAACGTTAGATTTAAATATGGCTGCATCAACATTAAGATGGGAGAAGGAAATTTCAATGCAGTTATAAATTTTGTGATAATAAATCTTATATCATAGAGAAAGGCCTTAAAGATAAAGATGGGAAAACTCTGCAAGGGTTAAATTCTATGCCTGCGTATTTTTCTTAACTTGTGTTTAACAGAGGGTTATTCAGGGGTGGTGGGTATAAAGTGACGTGTCCTGCTTGAACCAGCTCTTTACAGACGGGAGACAAGCGAGCTCTTCTCTTTAAACACATTATTGCTGATGTAAGGATTTAAGGCCTGCCTTTTAGGACAAAAAGACAAATTTCCCGACCACTAAAAACCACTTGTATCGAACTACATCACCGTAACGATTAAGTATTGTCTCTTACCTATTATTTAACCAGCACACGTTTACCTTTTATTATAGGAGTGCCTCATCGGACACCTGTTTAAAAGGGTTTTTAATTGAGTGAATTTCAGGCAGCCCTGAACATACACGTCTATTTCCTATGAATTCTAAACACTGTGCATTTCGTAATGATGAAACTACTGGACTGTGTTTTTAGGGGAAAGAGGGGGAAAACATAGAGAACACTTTTAAAAAGGTAAGAAACCAATACATGTATTAGCTCGGTTCGGGTACTTCACCTTCAAGGCAAAGAGAGCGTTACCAGTATACACATGGACTGTCCAGAAATCTCCAGTTGTTTAAAATGATGTGACACTACTCTGGCGCCGGAGTTACAATTCCATCGTCTTTAGGATTTCCTTGCAAGGAAAATGTAGTATCCAATTTGTTTACGAAAACTTAGGCCTAAGCACGTGTGCCCGCATTTATGACACAACAAATCACGTATGGAAAACTAATTACATGTACCGATACATGTATTAAGTAAGGCCTACATTACCCAGGAGATGGGATTGCCTACTGATAAACAGACCAAAAAGTAGGGGAAAAACCTGCAAAAATAATCATTTCATTTGATCCAAGGGAACTCATCCCGTTCTTTTATTCAATAAAACGGTATTGTATTTTATTGTAAAATTGTATATATTAAAAAACTAAACTTTCTTTATTTAAGGCATATTATGGTTTCTTTAAATAAAATTCCTAAATTATGAAGTGTCTGTCTGATATTGTGATCTCAGCAGGTTGTACCTTTTGGGGGACTACTGTGTAGTGCAGGTGGCCATTATGCAATCAACTTGATCACAGGTGAATTGGAAGTTTCATTTAAATCATCAGGGAAAATTCGGGAAATGGGTAAATGCAGAGCTTCTTCCCTTTGTTACCGAGACATACTGTTCACGGGTAGGAGGTTGGAAAATAGTCCAGAAAATTGCGCCCGTTATGGAGGAGTCGTTACAATGAAAACATAGTCTGCTGATAAAGATGGGGAAAATATTCAGAAATTCATTTCATTCTTATTCGGTAAGCGGGAAATATCAAAGAATAATTACAAGGCAAACGGGACAACTTGACTGATCAATTAGGGGTACTTTCCACTAAATCGGTAGATTTCTACGCTGATTAATATTTTGTAATCCCACGGGTTATTCAGAATAAGAGGTACTATAATCGGGGGCGGTCACAGACATATTTTTATAAATCACGAATTTAGGACTTGTGGCTTACAACTTGGGGGGGGTATTTCGTTCACAAAACCTCCAACTTGTGGGCCTATGTTGCATAAAGGCGGGTGGCTACATTCAGAGCTGTCCGCATAGGTTTGTTTACTACTACATGAACATGTATTTTGGAGTGTTTGGGGGAAGAGCGAGTAAAAAATTTCGCATATGTAACCATAAAATTAATCATGAATTTCTAGTAAAAAACGCGAGGCCAACATGTTCTTGAGAGTTACTTGGCGGCGCCTTTTCTGTCCGATTGTGCACTGTTTTCTAATCTTCTCGTACGTAGTGTAGCGTAACCATCGTTCTTCATTTATGGAGATCGCAACACCGCGTAAGTGTGAGTGCGCCCTCATCAATGTAAGGACTTGACCTAATGCAATGCAATTTATGTAAAGGTAAGGAACTAGTTTGTTTCTTATATTGTAATTCTGTAAATGATAAGACCATAATGAATTACTCTAAAGGTTGTTAAGCACAAGAAATTCTCCAAAAGAATGAAATGAGAGGAAACAATATGCAGCATTTTTTAAAAGCAAAATAGCAAACTTCTATAAATAAGGGACTTGCGCAAGTTTATGTGCACGATGATCAACATAAAGCTGACTGGCGGCACGGTGGGGTGCTGTGGACAAGTTTTACATCAGTGCAGCATGCAGAGTGAGTCGGGTACCAGATCAATTTATTGACATCGAAATTTTGCTGCAGGTGCGTTCACGTTCACGTTTCCACAATTGGAAGATTGCTGCCAAATGGAAACGGGCTGAGACATTGGTGAAACAGGTAAATGACTTTATCTAAGCGCTAAAGGGTGAATTGTTGGAATTCCGTCGAATTCGATATTAATAAATCCTGTAGAGATCGTGTTGTGTGTCTCACCATTACATGATGTTCAAAAATTCGGTATCGATATCAACATTGCCATGAATAGCTCTAGTAGTAGCATGTGTTAGACCATCATGACCATGGTTCACGAAAAATAACCCCCCAACGAGGGCCCGTGTCTACAGGGTGCAGTCCGCTAATTCATGTGAGAATTTCTGGCCAGCACATTAGCCTTAAAAGTGCCCCTACAGTATCTTTTGAAAAATAAGATCGTTTGGCTCCCAAATGGTGAGATTGTGTAAATTTTTGCCAGGATCATCTTCCCATGAGCTTTCATGTGAGAGTAGAATGGCCAAAAACTACAGTTTAAAAATGATCCTATCAATCATGTCCTGCATGTGACTGTGTAAGTGCCCGAGAAAGTTGGGTTGCCACTTGAGAAATGGCTGCAAATCAGACTTCGGAAAAATCACTTTTCAGTGATTTTGTGCTGTTGGAATAATTAAAAATGTAATTGGTTAACCCACAAAAAATTGAAAAGAAATAGAATGATTAGGGACCAGGCAATAATTTAATTTGTGTGTCAGAAATCTCAGGGATTTACTTGTAGGTATGCATGTTATTATGGGCCTTGAACAGTGTTGATTTTACACTGTTTTCAGTGGGGCTTGAATCAGTGGACTGTACCCTATGTACAGTTACAATAGAATTTTCTTTTGACAGTAATGTGACTGGGTTGGTGTGGTTGAGGAACTAGACAACATTCCTCCACGATCACTCAGACCAAGCACTAAGAGAGTGTCAGTTATGGTTTTTAATGATAAAACATGTAAAATGATAATGTTCTCGTGTTGTGAAGTCATTGGACCTAACGTTACATGGACTGAAGGGTATTTTTGCTGCAGCTTCTGAACAATGATGAAGTATAGCGGTTGGCCTAGTACAGTTTTTGTACCTTCAACGTGGAAAGAATTCTTTATACTGTACGTGTATGGATGCTTCTTGACACCCGAGGAAACAGCTTGGTATATTACGATGTAGTACTTACATGTATACATGTACATACTGTTCTCATGGGGATTTTCATCTTATACCCAAGTAACAGTGATTCCAGCGGTCTTCTTTTTGGAATAGTATTCTGGGTATTCTGCAGTTATACCGCAAGTAATAATAAAAATGGTTTTCAAGTGAGAGAATACCAAGATTTGGACATTGCATACTGTACGATACCTTGGTACATTACCTGTTTATGTGCATGTACATGTGTACAGCATACTGACTACAAACTACATTGTACAATGGTGATTGTAGCATTGTTATTTGATCGAAATGATGAGTTCATCAAACTGACAACATAAATTGTTTGAAATGTTGAAAACTTGAAAAGTCATTACTTCAAGTCCAGCAGAGCAAGGGTTGAAGTTCTAAACTGCTCCTCTACAGAGATACATGTATCAAACTTATTCAACAATATCAAATTTACTTGACATAGACATGTAACTTAATGTGTACAATCTGTTTGCTGGTATTTAAGTTTTCCAGAAGTGTAGTGTGTACGTGTACACGTACGTAGTCACACTCATCCTGTACATGTACTTGTGTATTGAAATAAAAACTGAAAACCAAAATGAAATCCAAAGAGGCAGCTACATGTACTTGTAGAGTACATGTATGTATGATCGTGACTGCTTGACGAGCTGAAAATTGATGCCATGAGAAGAAATATTTAGCATTTACCACATCCTGCCAATGGGGATTGGACTGAAATTTAAAACTTATTGGAATGAAATAAATATACCAGGAACTTGCCTTCAAAACAAGCACATACATTAAACTGTCTGAGTTTTCCTATGATAACTTTTAAAAGCTTCATCATGAACATTTAACTCTATTAACATGAAGTTTAATAATAAAGTTCTATTATAATGAGCAACATATCCACCCAGAATTTTTATTACTCCTGCACATTGGGCCCATGAAACATTCCAAGTACCATCTCAGCTCCCTGGGAATAATACAGCTCGATGCAGCCAGTATTTTTGGTGCAAAGCGGCTAAAATCAACCACAAAAAACCATCTTTGCCCTCACAGGGTACCCAATTACTCCTGGGTGGGGAGAAGCAAGCAGTGAGTGACAAAGTGCCTTGCCAAAGGGCATACACACCATGACTCCAGGCACTGGATTCGAACCTGCAACCTGCTGCTTTAGCCCCTGACTGCGAATCTGATACTTTTAACCACTGGCCACAGCACTTCACAAGTTTGAGTGTACATGTACATGTATACATGTGTAGTCCTACTCATTTACACATGTATGTAATAATATGTGTTGACAGAAAAATATTTGTGATTTTATTTGAGTACATGTACGTGTGTGTACACACTCATATGGTCTTTGGCCTTACTGGCGATGTGCTGTTTCTTTATGACCTACATTTGTACAATACACAAAATGTACATGTATTATCAGTGTATACACAATACAACATGTACATGTGTGGTACTCTATGTGCTTTTATGCACAGA